TTTCTTTCGACGAAATTAAAGTTTTTAGCCCAGCAGATCAAATAGCTGAAGTGACATTAGGTCTTTTTAAGGGATCTCGGGTAGCAGCCTCGTACCGGTACGTGAAGTAGAGCTGCAACCAACTAGATGGAGTGACGACCTGGTAAGACCTGTGAGAGATCGATGGATGCAGGTGGCTTAGGACTGTACTTTGTGATATTCTTTGGAGGAAGACTATGTTCAGCAGTAACCCCGTGATGTGCTGCTTTTATGATGATAAAATGTTTAAATTAATCTTAAAGTATCGATATATATTCTAATAAACTTTCTATAAAATTTTGAAAAGTCAACTATGATTTAAATTTTGAAATAATTCTTTAAAGCCTATGTTACAAAAACAGTTAAGGCAAAGATAAGTTTGGAAGTTTTTACAGTAGGTATTTTTTATAGAATAAGGGTGACAAGCGAGCACACTGTCTACCTGATGATAAGTGGATGCTGTGGCCCATAGACATCTACGTGATATACATCTAATAGCGCGTTTACACTCTCGCGCGAGCGGCGAGGCGAGTCGCTGGGCGAGCCACGAGGTGCGAGTGTAACCGCTAGCTCGTGGCTCGCCTCGTCACTCGCGCGAGTGTAAACGGACTATTAGATGTATATCGTGTAGATGTTTAAAAACCACAAATACATGTGAAGACCGCCATCATGCATTAGTGCAGCGCAATGGACACTTGTCCTAAAACCCTCTCAGTACTCTCATTAGAAAGAAGATGGGCTAATATGGAATACCTCATTACTAGTAAAAAGCATCGCCGTTTCTCAACACTCACCATACGAAACACAGTATTATTCTGATGATTTACGCTAGTATTCTGTAAACGTGTGGACTCCGGTCGTACCGACCCCTTCGTGCTTCAGCTATAATATTATAGCTGCAGCGTGGCTCTACCGCGTAAAAAGTGGTAGTATTGAAATATCACATAAATATTTAAAATATAATATATATATATATATATATATATATATATATATATATATATATAATCTACATTCTTATATCTTCGCATATTGAAGAGACACTTCAACGACCTCAAATCTCACGTTGATTGCCTTTCCATAAAGACAAAAATTGCGTTATTTTTATCAAAGAAAGAAAAATAAATTGTAATAATTATTAAAATTCTAAAATGAACATGATTAGTTTTGAAATAGTTCGATTCATCAAAAAAGCAGTACAAAAAATAAAATATCGAGTGTGGTCATCACCACGGAGCAAACACAATGCTCCGTGGTCATCACTAATTGAAACGTGTTCTTGTCTTAATTCTTTGTATTTAGCATTCAGAGTGCAGCGCGTGTTCGCGGATAAAATGCTAAGCGGCGGATGAGCGTGCGAATACCACCAGTTGTTGACGACATTTTAGCTTGTGGTTGGTTCATTTAATTTAATCCGTTTTTTCGGCTGGAATTTTTGGGGGAAACCGAGATCGATTTTGTTTATTTTTTTTGGGGGGGGGGGGGTTGGAGAGGAGTGGGGATTGGGGGGCTGCATTGGTGATCTTTTAAACTTTAAAAAATAAACGTAGATTTAATTTGTGCAACATTAAAAGCAAATATAGCATTCTTTTTATTTTGCTTTTATTAGTTGATTTATCAGCTGCAAAAGAACACAACCGGGACAAAATGTCTGAACAATTAATATTTCGAGTACCTACATGAAGTTTATCAATCCATGCTATAGCAGCGTGATACCCAATACAAAAAAATACAGATTTATTATGATTAGATATGATACAATTTGTAATCCACATATTTTTTATCAATATTATCTTAGTAATGAAAAGAAATAGCCGTGGTGGCTCAGATGGTTAGCGCTCGCTGTAATTTCCACAGTACGCGAGCAAACTGGGTTCGATCCCTGCCGGCACCAAAGAAATTGTTAATCGCAATTTTAAGAGCTGATTTACCACGTGCTCGACAGTGAAGGAAAACATCGTGAGGAAACCTGCATGTCTGAGAAATAAGAAAAAAAAATTCGAAGACATGTGAAGTTCGCCAACACGCATTGGGGCAACGCAACGGACACTTCCTTGCCCTAAAATCCTCTCAGAAATGAGAGGAGGCCTGTGCCCAGCAGTGGGACGTGTATAGGCTGTAACAAACTAACTTACTATTACAATACAATACAACCTCTTGGTAATTGGTGATATAGCCCGAGATTGTAAATCACACTATCTTAGCGTAAAAGAAGCCTATTTACTTTTGCCTTGAATACGGCCACATAGTAATCGGACAGGGCCGGGAAAACGAACGCTGGCAAATTATTCCATTTTTAATATTTGTCCACGTTTTCCTTAGTTGAATCATAGGACATACGCTAAACGATATAAAGCGATTATTTTCTTCTTTAACTATTATTTAGACAGATAATTAACTGCTTGTATGGTTTCTTTTCTGAGTAAATCCAATTCTATTCATTTCTGCTACAAAGCATTTGGCGGATCGATAGTGTAGTAGCAAAATAATTACTTGGCTGTTACGCTTCAGGCCGAGATTTCTATTTATCTTTTAAAAAACGTTGCTAGTATGGCCCCCACACTAGGATTTTCTCCCGTATCGTGGAGGTAGTTTACATTACATAAAATGCACAAGGATAAATATCCGGACACGGATCAATTAATTGTAGCTCATACAAATGACTTGTTCCGTGTAGGATTCAAACCCGTGAACCTCCGCGGAGCGCCGTAACTTATTGGTAAGCCTATGAGCGACGAACCGTCAAACCGTTGAACTAAATATAATTATTTCAGTGAACCTTTGTTCCGCATATAATTAATTAATACTCTTCTATATGAGAAATTTCAAGTTTAAAAAAAACACATTCCATTCTGTTCTAGTTTGTATAATAAGAGAACGGGTAAGTGATAGAGCCAGGCTGCAGCTATATTACTGGTACAGTTGTAGCAGAAATGGGTCAGCTCGACCGGAGAAGGACCATGCGTGTGTGTAAAGAACCGGATACCCTTTTTACTGGAAACGAGGCATTCCATCTTAGTCTTCATGGGTGACAACGCATCTGCATTTTGATTCGTTATCGAGGATAAATGTAGATGTCTATGGGTCACAGCAACCACTTACTATCAGGTGGACTGTGTGCTCGTTTGCCACTCTTAAACTATTAAAAAAAAAACTATCACAATGAATGAGGCAACTCATTATAGTTCTCAGGGATGACAACGTACCTACAGCTTTGAAATTAACAGCAGATAACAAATGATCATGTCGCAGGAGGAGACGGCTAAGCTCGGAATTTCTCCTCGTGATAGAATCCACGGTGAAGATAGCCAAGGACAAGAGTAACTGACATAGCTCAAAGGATCAGTAAGATGATCTTATAGCTCAAAAAGCATCCTGTTATATGACTGTGTTTGTGGTACTCCTTGGGCTTATTCTCGGCACTGGGACTTCCACGTGGACTTTTGAAAGGCTGTAATGATGATGATGAGTGCTACTACTACTACCACGGATATTTAAGACTACGTTTTACGTGGTAGAGCCATGCTGCAATTATATTAGTAGTATAGTTGTAGCACGAATGGGTCGGCTCGACCGGGGAGGGACCACGCTCTCACAGAATACCAGCGTGAAATAGTAGCTTGATGCTGCTGTGTTTCGTATGGTGAGTGTAGAGAACCGGAGACCCTTTTTACTGGAAATGAGGCATTCCATCTCAGTCCTCACGGGTGACAACGCATCTGCATTTTGATTTGTAATGGAAGATAGATGTAGATGTCTATGGGCCGCAGCAACCTCTTACCATCAGGTGGACTGTGTGCTCGTTTGTCACCCTATCCTATAAAAAAAAAAAAAAAAGGTTCGAAAACAGTTTGGGACAGTTGCAGTTTGCAGTTAAGGCTTTATATTGAATGTTCGTTATTTTTAATTCTATAGATATAAATACATCAATTACTTTATGGCCTTAATATATATTATGCCCGTCAAAGATTATTCTGAAAAATACAACTATTTTGTCATCACTAATATTTATTTAAATAAAAAATTCAGTATATTTATCGATATGATACCCATCTCTAAAACACGCGCGTGTGATGGACCCCGAATACTTACGCAACTAACCTCCGCGGAAGTCACGAGTCACCACTCGGGAGTTGACCTCCTACCTAATTGCATGCTACGCTATGATACACCGATTGCTTTAAGGAAGCACGATTACCAACAAACAATTAAACGTACTCGTAGTTTGCTTATTGAACTTTACACAAATCTGACAATGAGTAATTTTGCGTGAAGGCATGCTTTTCCTCGACTTATTTTGAACCTACATTCTAAAATATATACTTAGGGGAAGAGGGGGCATGATGGGGCAGCGAGGTAAGACGGGGTACCGCACACATAATACAAGAAACTAGATGTTTATGAATAGAAAGCAATAAGCCAATAGGAAGCCTCAGTCGACCAACGGTCAGTGCGAGAGAAACTGTGAGTGTTAGTGCACGCGTCTTTTGTTTACAAACCAAAAACTGTTTTAACGTTTCGTCGATCTAATTTTGTGTAAAGTCAAACAACATTATTTTAAGGTAATTATGATCACTCCATTTATGTATTTTTGATATTTGTTTACTTGTGTTGCTTATTTTGATATTGTATATTGTTTGTATGAATCCGTTAAACGTTTCATTAGTAAATTTTTTTTTTATTCAAAGTGAACGTTTGAGGCAAGATGGGGTATTGGGTGTGGGGTATGATGGGGCATTGGGGCAAAATGGGGTTGTAGATCTGGGTTCATTTAAATTTCTATATAAATAACATTGGTTTATTATTTTTTTTAGCTAAAATCATGGTACGTACTTACAAGAAAAAAACCAAAAGAGGAGAGTGGTCGACAGATGCTATGAAAACAGCTATAGATAAAGTTTTAAGCAAAGAGATGGGATATAAAAAAGGCTGCTTCTGCATACACAGTGCCTCAGACTACTTTAGAGCGATATATTAAAAAAATGAAGAAAGGCGGTGAAGTTACTATTGGTTTACCTTTAGGCCCGAAAAAAACTATATTTACACCTAAAGAAGAAGACGAAATAGAAGCTTATCTGAAATATATGGAAGAGCGTCTTTTTGGACTAACAACTATCGAACTGAGACGTCTAGCATATCAATTAGCAGTTAAAAATGGAAAAGCACATAATTTTAATACTGACAAGAAAATGGCAGGTGTTGATTGGCTCAAAGGTTTTTTAAAACGTCATCAAAATTTGTCAATTCGCAAACCTGAAGCCACGTCAGCAGCTAGAGCAATGGGATTCAACAAAGTGGCCGTAAGTAAATTCTATCAGTTGCTCGGATATATCTATGATAAGTTCGAATTGACCCCTGACAAAATATATAACTGCGATGAAACTGGAATTTCCGTTGTTTCTAAAACTAAAAGCAAAATATTAGCTATTAAAGGACGAAAACAAATGGGTTCGTTATCATCTGCTGAACGAGGACAGACTATCACTGTAGAAATATGTTTTAACGCTGCTGGAATCTACATGCCTCCACTGATGATTTTTCCGAGACAACGAATGAAACCAGAACTTTTAGATCGTGCTCCACCAGGTACTATAGCAGTTTGCAATCCTCGAGGCTGGATAACTTCAGAAATATTTTTGACTTGGTTCAAAAACTTCATCAAATTTTCCGGAGCTACTCCTACTAATCACATATTGCTGCTTCTGGATGGTCATGTTAGTCACACTCAAAATTTAGAAAGTGATTGAACTTTCTCGTTGAAAAGGAGTAATTATACTTTGATTCCCTCTTCTCTGCACACATAAAATGCAGCCTGCCGACGTTGCATTTATGAAGTCACTCAGCACTTATTACGATCATGCTGTTACAGGCTGGTTGAGATCACATCCTGGACGGGTGGTAACTGTATTTCAGATAAGTGAAATATTTGGTAACGCATACGTTCAGGCGGCTACAATGTCTACCGCCATTAACGGATTCAGAAAATGTGGTATATGGCCATATAATCAAAATAATTTTACCGACGCCGATTTCATTTCTGCTGAGACTACGAACATACAAAATATTGCAGACTCGTCGAAAGTAGAACAGCAAGGGGTATCAGAAGCCGAAGGTCTTCAATCTGGAACAGTACCATGTCTGTCTTTAACAACAACAGTCACAACTGTATCTTCAACGGCCACGATATCTTCTCATACTGAAACTCTTGCAACATTACCTGAAGCTACAACGACATCTTCCACTCCACTTAGAACAGAGTTAATCGCCGAATGTTACGAAGCACTCACACCGACAGTGGTTAAAACACCCGTCCTCGAACCTGAACCTGGATGTTCTTATTCTCCTAAACCAGCAATTCGTGCAGCGTGCCGCGATTTAACGTCTAGCTTCGAAAATGCATCCCCTAGTGATATTTTGCCAATTCCTTCTGTTCAACGAACTAAAAATAGGAAACAATACCGGCGAGGAAAAACAGCCATAATTACCTCAACTCCTTATAAAAATGAGCTAGAAAATTTGAAAAAGCCGGGGAAAACATCCAATCCTAATGATCCTCGCCTCAAAAGGAATGCTAAAAATAAACAAAAGACTAAACAGTCAGATAAAACACAAAAGTGCAATGATGAAGATGTCATTTGCTTATATTGTAATGATGTAAACCACAGTTTTTTGACATCGTTAGAACCTTGGGTAGCCTGCCAGCTCTGTGGACGTTGGGCTCACAATGCTTGTGCTGGCGTGGACAATGAAGACCTGGAAGAAATACACATTTGTTTGTTTTGTGAGAATAATTAGCGTTCCCCATCATGCCCCGATTTTCATTACCCCATCATACCCCATGGTACGGGGCAAGATGGTTTTTTATAATGTTCCTATTAATGATCAATTTTTTAAAAATGTGATAAGTTGATTTTCCAATGACTGTACCAAATCATAGTTAGATTAATGACATAACATGCCATAAAGTAATAAGAGTAATAAACATAGTGATTATGCTGTATTTTTGTTGTTTACCATAGCTACCCCATCATGCCCCCCCTTACCCTACTAGTACTTATAGTGGCATACGAGAAACCATCACTTTTATCTAACCCGTATTCTATCTGTTGTAAGAGATGATTTTGGGAAAGGCCTATACTCGTATACCTAGGTTACTCTTTTTATCACAGTAACAGGGCGCGTTATGTAGTGAGATATATTTTATAGAAGGGTAAGTAACCTTTTTGTTTTAATATATAAAATATAAAAATAAAAAGGCGACAAAGGGAAACAAACCAGGAGATGGACAGCAACGTCTTCTTAATAACATCTATAAAATCAACCCACCTGCCAAGCATGGCAACTATGGCAAAGGTCCTCCCTCTGAATCAATCTACACAGGAGGCATATGTTTTTAGTAAAGCTTTTAATAAGCTGTAATTATGACGACTATGATGCTGTTACTTGTTTTGTTGTGTTTGTTGCTGACTATGATGCTTAAAACCATGACAGCTCAGGGGCTAAACGCCAACTGTAAATTTCACAATGCGCGAGCAACCCGCGTTCGATCCCCACGGTTACCAATACAATTGTTAGTTGTAATTTTAAGTGTTGGTTTACCACGTGCTCAGCGATAAAGTAAAATATTGTGAGGGAACCTGTCTTGTGAAATTAAAATAACAATTACGAAGACGCGTGAAGTCCGCCATCACGAATTAGGACAGTGCGGTGGACACTTCCTTACCCTTAAACACTCAGTAATTAGAGGAGACCTAAGTCCAGTGGAATGTATACAGGCTGTAACTTTAAGTAATCTGTAATATGAAGAACCTTTCCAGAAAACTTTCTCGAATGTTTTATACATACATAAATATAAGATGCCGTGCCGATTAATACCTAACATCATTCGAAACTAAAAATAAGTATCTTTAAACCGTCTCCACTGCGGTCCAACGCTCAGCATAAAGATCGTTGCATATCAGTAAAATGTCATATGGCTAAGCAACAGTTTTCTCGAATTAGTGATCAAAGGACATCGCGTCCCTGAAACCCAGTTTTAATATAAATAGTTATTCCTAACAATTTAGCCAACAGTAGTTTTGCGGGCACTGACCGCGACGTAAAGTTCCTTTGTATATCAAATGTCTAGGCACTGCGTGAAACGGAATTAATTAAAATAGGGTCAATGTCCCACGAGAAGGTGCTAAATAATATAAATAATATTCGCCATATTACAGTGACCCCATATGAAAATTTGCTATCTCATCCTGTGGGTTACGACGTCAATCCGTATGGGCAGAGGCGGATTAAATCTCGAGAGTGCTCTAGTCAGGTCTTTAAACCGTGGCCCAAGGATAGCACCTCAACGGCGACACTTTAGCAGCCATAAGTATATTATAACTGCCTCGTTGGTCTAGTGGTTATAGTGGCGCGACTACTGATCTTGAGGTCCTGGGTTCGAATCCTGGGTCGGGCAAATAAATTAATTATTGAGTTTTTCCGTCAAGAAATTCTTAATAGCTGCCCGGAGTCAGGAAGTTGACGGTATATCACCCCGGTGCTTCGGAAGGCACGTAAAGCCGTTGGTCCTGCGCCTGATCTCTCTCCGGTCGTGTCGGTTTACAGTCCCATCGGAATATGAGAGTAATGGAATAGAAGGGTGCACCTGTGCTTGCGCTTACACTTTGGCACTATAATCCTGTCCTACGCCGATGGATAGTCTCCGTTGAGGCTGGCCACCGTGACCGAAATTCTGTCTGGAGGACATTATTATAACTACTAATTTTGCAAATAAACTATAATAAAATTTATAACACAGTATAATAGTTACAAAATAATTAGGACACGAGTACCCTTAACAGGTGGGCGTGAATGAAAAATTTGATAAGTGAGTGCGATTCAGAAATACCTAATCAAATAGACGATTTTTTTTCGTTTAAACTTCCGCGCGCGCCCCTTTTTAACCTTGAACCACTAGGCACGTATTAAGTTGTAGTTTGCCGGATAATCCGCCGCTGCGCATGTGTGAGACCCATGTCCATGACTTTAAATGCGTGATGATAATGAAAAAGAATTATTTAATTAATTGTGTAATTATAAGTGGCAGGTCATTAGTCATTACATAATTTAGTTGCGTTATTGAGCTTTTATGAGAAGTTCTCTATGGTCTTCTTTTAATTAGCTTTCTAAATCCATTGATGAAACTAAGCATTTCTTTCTGATGTCACTTACCACGTTGAGGCTGATTTTTAACCATAGAGTCGATACTCTGGCACTGGTAATGTTATTTCTAATTAGCAGTCTCTAATTCCTTATTCTCCGTCATCATACCTGGTTGCCAAGTGTAGGTAAGTGTAGAAGTTAGCATTTGGAAAATAGCGGTAAATGTTCTAAAATTACAAAAGAATGGCATATGTGATCGATATGTCATGCTATAACTGTTAGCTCCTCTTACTGTATTACATGCCTTAAGCGCAAAGCGCATAAAATGTTCTACTAGCGCATAAAAAAAAGAATCCGACGTTTTGTCGCATGAAATCGTATCCATATTATTATTCATTTTCATGCATTCATTTAATAAAGCCTAACATGAGTCCTCTCTGAATATAGACATCCCACATTTTTTTTATAGGATAGGGTGACAAACGAGCACACAGTACACCTGATGGTAAGTGGTTGGCCATAGACATCTACATCTATCCTCGATTACAAATGCATACGCGTTGTCACCCGTGAGGACTAAGATGGAATGCCTCGTTTCCAGTAAAAATGGTCTCTGATTCTCAACACTCACCATAAGAAACACAGCAGTATTAAGCTACAATTTCACGTTGGTATTCTGTGAGAGTGTGGTTCCTTTTTTTATTATTTTCAGTTGTTATCAGGAAGATGCTGCTACCCATCTATCTCAGCACAGTTTCCCTCTGTCGCCTCCTACGACACACCTGATATGAGATAGTGGATATTCTTACACCGCCACTACACAGTTATGAAGGTATTTATGACAACTGAAAGAGTTACCCCTCTATTATTATTATTCATTTGATGGTTATCTCTTTATTACTACGTTATATTCTGAAGCTATAAGCGATTTTAGTTTATTCTTTTTAGTTAATTAAAGTCGGCTTTCTCTTTTTATTATAAATTTTTTCCCGCGTTTTTTAATGTATGGAAACGTGTGAGTGCACACAAGCTTCTTGCTGTCTCAGCTAGCGAATTTTAGCCACGTTCATGGATGGGTTCGAGCCGTCGTCTAACGCAGCCTAGGTTTCATTACCTACCTACTGTCCTCATCTCTGGGCCAGGGTAACCTAGTGCCAGCTCCTTCCACTTGATCGCATCAAGTGCTGAATGGCTCAAATCGTCGACAACCGAATTCTTTCTGATCGGCTCAACTCACTGATGCTACGAAGAGATGTTGCATCCCTTTGCATATTCTATCGCATCCACCACACGAAGTACTCCATGTAAACTATTTAGGACAGGAAAAATAGTTAGGACTAATTCCAGCTGTTCAATTTCACCATCGTATATCGCAAGAAAAGTTGCGATACCATCCATGTGGTATGGATGATTGGTGGTCCACCACTGTACGAGTTGAGAGAAGTTTTTTTGTCGCACTACATTTCTGTGGAATCAACTACCAGCGATTTTTCTGGACCGTTGCAACTTAGGGACCTTCAAAAAAAGAACTCTTTTATTGAATGCCTGCAATATTCCTACAATTCCCCTGTTGTAGCTATTGTTTGGGCGCGGAAGTCACGCTAGCCACATGCTTGTTTATCCGCCTCATAAATAAAATTGCCTTCAAACCAAATTTTATAGAAATCAGTCAAGCATTTTTTCCGTAAATACACATTGTGTAGACAACTCAAATTGGATAAGTAAGATACCTATATTTTTTTTAATAGGATAGGGTGACAATCGAGCACACAGTCCACGGTGATAGTAAGTGGTTGCCGAGGCCCATTGACATCTGCATCTATCCTCAATTATGAATCAATATGCAGATGCGTTGTCACCCGTGAGGACTAAGATGGAATGCCTGGTTTCCAGTAAAAAGGGTCTCCGGTTCTCTACACTCACCATACGAAACACAGCAGCATTAAGCTACTATTTTACGCTGGTATTCTGTGAGAGCGCGGTCCTTCCGCGGTCGAGCCGACCCATTCGTGCTATGACTATACTTCCTACTATATATAACTGCAGCATGGCTCCACCACGTAAAAAATATATCATAAAAAAATATACTATATCTTTTAATCTATCCATCTTCTTAATCCTAACTTATAAATCTAACAAAAATGTAAATTTAAAATAACAAATTACATTTATTGATACTTTTATAATAAAACATTTTTGCTATCTCTGTGCATTCAATTACTTATTTTAAATTTCTCAATCAATTAAAATCTATAGAAGATGGTTGACAATAAATATAGTTTCTAAAATAACTAAAGCGGGCTATTCACACGACTGCTGTAGGGACAATTGAGGCTGTGGAGGTGAGGATGAGCCGTAATTGCCTCTTTGATTGTGATGTGTGTGTATGTGACAAGCAGGGGCAACTTCGTGAATTGTTTCCTAGGCAGGATGGCAGAGGCTCCAGACATTCGTGGCTTCCTAATTCAGTCCCTGCCGCTTTGCCATAATTATTGTTTGCATGATTGGAGCAATTTCTCCTATAGTTTGTCGTCGAGTGCCGCGCTAAGTGGGCTGCGTATTTGTATTATCTAGCTCGGTACCCATTGCGATGAATAAAATAATGGAATAAAATTAAAGAAAGTAAGAATGAACTTTTTAAATTTAAAAAAACTTAAATAATTTTCATGTAACAGCTTCTGAAGTTGTTGCTAAGACATAGTGTTTTTTTTTATAGGACAGGTGACAAACGAGCACACAGTCTACTTCATGGTAAGTGGTTGCTGTGGCCCATAGACATCTACATCTATCCTCGATTACAAATCAAAATGCAGATGCGTTGTCATTGATGAGGACTAAGATGGAATGCCTCATTTCCAGTAAAAATGGTCTCCAGTTCTCTACACTCACCATATGAAACACAGTGTGGCGGCGCTGTCGTCGCGCCACAAGCGAAATACACCGAAGCTTAAATCACGCTATCAACATTCCGAATCAAAAACAGTATATATAGAACATCTCCGAACTATCACATGGAGTGTCAGCCACTCCCCGGACAGAACACTTTGCCCGGCGGGAAATCTCTCATTTTCCTTCCACGGCCACAGTGGTGACCCGACGTGATCTGAACACGCAACCAACAACCTTCGGAAACTTCAAGCTTCATCAACGTCATACAATACCCCACCCGCTCCCGAACAGATATCGTCTGCAGTCTTCATTTCCTGCAAGCCATCTAGCTTCACAAGGTTCATCGCAGCACTGGAATAATAATGCTTCCTGTTCCTTCAAGCTACTCTCTGCGCTATATAGTGTTCGGCACGGCTCTGAGCCTTACTGCTCGCCTCTGCTTCACGGCACTCTCGCAGATTACTTGCCTTCTTCTCGACTCACCGCAGACTACAAGGCAATCTCCTGGCACTTGCACATTCGTCGGCAACGAGGCTGCACTATCGACCTCCGGTCTGAGCAGGGGGGTGATGTGGCGGCGCTGTCGTCGCGCCACAAGCGAAATACACCGAAGCCTAAATCACGCTATCAACATTCCGAATCATAAACAGTATATATAGAACATCTCCGAACTATCACACGGAGTCCGGCCGCTCCCCGGGCAGAACACCTTGCCCGGTGGGAGATCTCCCCTTTTCCTTCCACGACCACAACAGCAGCACCAAGCCACTATTTCACGCCGGCATTCTGTGAGAGTGTGGTTCTTCCCTGTTCGAGCCGACCCATTCGTGCTACAACTATACTACTAATATAACTGCAGCATTGCTCTGCCACGTAAATAGTACTGAGTACTGAGTAGTGTACTGAATTGTAGCCCCAACTTCAGAATCTATTATGCGAAAATTATTACACTTTTTTGTTTTCTACTCATCTTCCTTATAACAATTTAAACTTTTAAAAAACTTCAGTTGCTAACCCATTGGTCAGACACGGCAACTATAGCTATATTTAGCGGTGGACTTTGATAGCTTGTAATGATGATGAACCAGTTCTGTAGCCAGTATTTCATGTTTTGCTATATTGTTTTTTATAGTGGCATCTTCACCAATTCAATCACGTATTCTATTAAATCTTACACTAATGTGTAGGGTAGGGCGCATGTGACACCTCCTGAATAGTCTCCTGACGCTCATCCCCTAGATTGTCCCTCTGGCAGGCGTGTGAGAAACCAGTCTATGCATTCACAAAATATCACAGTATATTCTCATAATAGAGAAACAATTTTAACTTTAACATTCAACTATATGGTTGACCCCAGGATTTTGAACTTTGTGGTAATGTTTCCAAGGGCACTCTCTGAGTCCAGTAATAAAATAAATCGGCACGATAACCTTCCCCATCTCCCCGCAACACAGCATTCAGATATTTCGCATCTGCAGCTAAATATTTTACTTGTTCATTTCCTGATTTCATCTTAGTAGAAGTTGTATCTAAGCGACATCGCACTGTTTTGAGTGATGGATGCACTGCTATAATATGTTCATTATGAGAACCAAGCATCATATCTGTGTCAAATTGTTCTAAAACAGGCAATGAAGTCACTAACTCTGTAAGTCCATCAGCTGATGCCCGACAACGCCATAGTTCAAGAACATGTAATCCTGGTAACTTTTCAATTAATGCAGGTATATGCTCATCACTAAACCATGATGCACTCAACACTAGTTCTTCAATTGTTTGAGGCAGACCATGTATCAAGGCTGCTAAGGCACGGTTCCTCACCTGGAATTTTGGATGTTATTTTGTATAAAGACAAGTTGCTTTTTGCAAGACTGAGTTGCTTAGTAAGCTACAATGGGGACAATTCTGAAAGCTTCTACTCTACAACAGAACTGGGGTGCCTTTGTGTAACTACTATTATTAAGTTGATCACCTCATTGGTCTAGTGGTTGTAATAGTGCAACTGCTGATCATGAGATCCTGGTTCAAATCTTGGGTCGGACCAAAAAATTAATTATTGAATTTTTCTGTCAAGAAATTCTCAGTAGCTGCCTGGAGTCAGGAAGTTTGAGGTGTCTCACCCCCGTGCCTCAGAAAGCATGTAAAGCAGTTGGTCCTGTGCCTGATTTCTTTCTGGTTGTGTCGGTTTACCTCGGATTATGAGGTGAGGGAATAGAGTGCACATACACACACTTGGGCACTATAATCCTGTCCTGCGCCGATGGCAAGTCTGCGTTGAGGCAGGCCGCCGTGACTGAAATTCAGTCTGGAGGACATTATTATTATTAAGTGGTAGGACTTTTTTCTATCCAGGAGCTTTTATTTTAGGTTACAAAATATGATAATAAAAAGAAACATCACACAGTTGCAGCGATTCCCATTGACAAACAATTCCCATCAGAGTTACAAATACAATCGCACTGCTGGTTCCAGTAAAATAACCATGGTCTAACTGACATAATAGTTCAATGAAAGGTAAGGAACCTATAGTTTAGCCTCATTATGGTAAGCATGGTGACATAGTGTAAAAAATGTAACTCTGGAACATACTTCGTGACATTATCAAGTCAGTCAGATAGTATTTTCAATAGATCAGTCTAAAATCTATTTATTTGTCTATTGCAATATTACTAATTCTATAATTTATAATCAACTGCTAATAAAGAACTTGGGTAAACTATAGACGTCCGGTATTCGCGTACGGTGTTGGGAGGGGGAGGGGAGAGGGTCATGGGAAGCCTCCACTTCCCTTCCCCTATTGCGGAAATGTAGTTTATGAGTAATATTTTTTTTGTAAAATCATAACTTCACTTTTTATACAGGAATATTGACCCAAAGTTACTTCTGCAACGGCATCAGCACTGTGGGAAGTGCAGCCCCTTAGCCCTTTCGTAGCAAATCACAAGCACCCATGCTCACCTCCGCGGCTTCGGCTTATTTATTATTGCCTGCAATTTAATACAGTAGGCGGGAGCTGCTGTCCCTCCGTGCTTATGGCTTTACAAAAACACTCTAGGGGTAGGGCAGACAAGACTATGAGTCGTCGGGGTGTGCTTATTCAGTTTTAGAACCGATTCAACCAATCTTTCTTATCTTATCTATAAAGTCTAGTTGCCCTAAACTCTGCTATGATAGTGGTAAATTAAATAATGTAATATGAATTGTTATAATTTTGTTTTCCGAAAAACCTCTTGACTGCTCTCCACTGCAACTCAATTTGTTGTATATAAGTCCCACCTCCAGTCACAAATGTATTGTCTGGGTCCGAGTGATTAACTTTTTTATAAGTGTACTTTGTTAAAAAACAAATTGACATATTTGCATTTTGTTATTGCAATTTTTAGTGAAGTTTGTTTTATCGTAATTAATTCAAAAGACATTTCCAAAATCCAAAAACAGTTTAAATGGTTCAAGCTTAACCCTGACAATGCTCCTAAATTGAAAACAAACTTAAAAAATCAAGTACCGACATCTACTTCATAATATGAGAACAAATTGACATATTTGCGTTTCGTTATTACACAATTTTTAGTGAAATTTGTTTTTATGGTAATTAATTCAAAATGCATTTCCGACATCCAAAAACAGTGTAATAGGTTCAAGCTTAAACCCTAACAAGCCTGCTAGACCAAAAACATTATCAAAATCAAGTACCAGATGTCTATAGCCAACCCAAGAACTCAAACTAGTGCTTATAACTACATTATGTAATTTCAATACAACATACCATACGGGCTCCAGTTATATGAAGACAACGTAATTGTTTGAGATGTGTTAAGTACATAGCACCAGTTCTTGTCATTAGCCAGCAAGAATACAACTGCAAAGTCTTAAGATTAGTACAAGTAGAGATCACTTCATAAACCGCATCTGTCAGCTCATTACACCGCAGTGTTAGTTCACACAGTTGATTAACACTGGCATGCAATAAAAATAATAAATCACGTCGTGGATAATGCAATGAACGACCATACATGTGGAGTGCATGGAGACAAGCTGGAGACGCCAATGCGTGAAAAACTCCTCTTGTTACATTCTCATTCACAACCAGAGATCCAAGACGTTTAGCAACCGGAAGAAAAGATGATCCGAGGAAGCGTGACCGAGCAAACACGTCGAGATGTCGGAGATGAGGTAATCTTGCCAAAATTCGTAATTCGTCGTCACTGAGAGGCATTTCAGCGTGGATACTAAGCTCTTTCAGACACGGAGCAAGAAGTTCTAAGCTACGAAATAAAACATTGGGCTCGGGCAAGCGCGCAGCAGCAAGTACAGCTCTAGGACGATGGCGTAATCGTTTAAGGTGGCGTGCGTGGCGTAAGGATAAAGCACGCCTTCGCGCTACACGAGCCCAACGTCGGCAGACGCGTGCGACTCCAGCACATACTTCGTGGGCAGGCAACCATTCAAAAATCATAAGAAGAATTTCGTCTGGGAATTTATCCATGATTATTGAGTTTTGAATTAGTTTCAAGTATGAACAATCGACACCAATTTGAATATTTAATACAACATATTTGACGGCGCTATTTCATTTCGTAAATTTTAATTGATTGAACACATCACAATAAATCTCTTAAAATTCATATTTACATTTTATTATGTACTATGTACAGTTTATTTTTATCACAGAACACTATTACACCTATCGGAGATTTTTATTGATTTTTATATTCGACAATTGACATTTATAACATTAGTACCTATTTAGGGTATGCGTATGTTCCGAAATACAACACACCACAGTGTACTGTCCAATGCAAATGACGTCATGAATCGACGCTATACTGGTGATTCGTTTCAAAACATTGGACAGTATATGACGTCATACTTTTGCTCCATTTGGAAAAGTGTTGGCGATTATTTTGTCATTTTGTGCTCCAAAAATCATTATATCCTCCTAATGGATATACCATCAATTATTCTATAATTTTTGTATTTGAATAAATAGAAACAAATTCTGGCATGCTTCATTCGGCAAACACACAATTAAAAATTGTTTTATTATGGCCGGATATCCGACGCAATATGGCGGCGGCACGCTAGTACAATAAAGTGTCAAATGATGACGTCATTTGCAATGGACAGTACACTGCGTTGTATTTCGGAACAACCATTAGTAGGCTGTTGTTGTTGTATTATTCGCTCGAGAGAGCAGGTAAAAAAAACTAAGCCATACAGCCTTGTGTTTTTTAATTTGAATATATAGAATTTTAAAGTGTAAAGGCCGAAACCAGGTCTTATTTTCTTTAATTCTTCATATTTTCAAAAACCATAAAGGCAAGTCTTCTTTAATCCATATAGATTTGTCAGTCCAATATTTACAAAAAACAGGAATACCATATTTCATATCTTTTACAGTATTATGAATAAAATTGCAAAGTGCTAAATATGTCTTAGTATTCCTAAGAACATCTTGCATGGCACGCGGGTTTTGCAGTCTGATCTGCTTCTGTATCACAGAAGTTGCATGTTGTAGATGCTACTATTCTCATCCTGGAAAGGTGAGCGTTCAGTCGTGTAAGCCTAATTAGTTTAATGTACGACTGATTAATATTATTCTATATATCCTAGAATTATTATACCTCTAAATCTAATATAAAGATGCTGTATTGATTGTAATAAGTAGCAACAGGTAGGCAGATGTTAAAGTGTGTTTACACTATAATTATATTTCATTATAAATCAAAACTGTTTAGTTTTGATTTATAATGAAATATATTACATTGTTAATCTAAATGATAATAATTAAATGTATTATTAATTATCAACTAATTGTGGATGAATAATCGTTTGTTAATAACTATTATATTAGTTTAAGATAGTGTATTGATAATCGAAGTAAATGTCATATCGGACAGTCGTTGCGATAGGCAATCATCGCGTGGCCGTTGTACAAGAAACAGGTGAATTTTGTAATTAAAGTGCTGTGGAGATATTACTGGATTTTATTTTCTGGAACACTTTTGAGGCTATCCCAATATCTCAGAAGTGGGATCAACGAAAAATATTACTCTTTTCGACTTACGCCTACAAATTTATTTGTATTGTACCAACAACGTAATTGTTTGATTTGAATTTTTGTAGCGTGAAAAAAGTATGTAAATCAAATATTACCACTACGTAATTACGACGAATTCGAATTGAGGTTATTTATCTTCTATTTGAAGTTGTAATTATAACGAATTGCTAGTTGGCTAGAAAGTTTACCGTAAATAAGAGTATTTAACAACCAAACATACTGATTCACAATAAGATAAATAAATGTAATTATCATTTAACTATTTGGCGCTTGTGTAAGTACCCACGCTTGTCGAAAGTAACGAGTACTGTTTTTTTTATATATATAAATAGAATTTCGGTGCTTGCTGTACAAAGCAAGTAATACAAATATTTTGGAAAGCATTATTTATCGTTGCTCACGATTGGTAAGGGTACTGGGGTCGATTGTTGCAATCGAAGAGAGTAAATGTGTTCTCTTTTTTTTTCCTCTCTTTTTCTCCCTGTGTCTGAAATGATTGCGTATTTCAAGATGAACATTGTGTGGTGTGCTACGGTGGTAGTAGCAGTACTATGTGAGAAAGACCAAGCCTGATCAGGAGTGATTCAGTTATTACTACCGAAAATATTAAAGAAATATAAGTACACATAGCTGCATAAACTTAATCTATGTTAATGATGTTAAAAATAATGGTTTACTAAGCTATCGTCTGTCAGTTTCAGTGCTCGACATGGAGAGAGAAAAGAGTCAAACCCGAGATTATAGGACTCTTAGTCCGGGCCCAGGAGTACCCAGGTTTGAGGGTCAGAGTCGGGAAGCGGTAGATTAGAGGCGTGAGTCTAGCCACGCAACTTGGCCAAGAGTACCCATGTATGAGGGTCTAGCTAGGAGGACATGTTCGGAACAACCAGGGGTATCACGGGTGCGTGATACTGAGGTTGGTAATAATTATGACAATATTGATGGAGAGCGTCAAGGACGAAGGGTGCTTCGTCCACAAAGGGCATGTTTGGAACAACCAGGGGTGTCACGGGTGCGTGATATTGAGGTTGATAATAATTATGACAATATTGACGGAGAGCGTCAAGGACGAAGGGTGCTTCGTCCACAAAGGGTTAAGGAGAGAGTTCTTCGCACACCTTCGAGGTCAAGATGTAGCCGTTCGTCGAACGATGGATCCTATAGCCGTGAGGGTACCAGAGAGAGAAGTACGAGTCGACGAGGTAGGAGATCGGAGGACGATAAGGATTCAAGGTCGGGTTTTAGTCGTGACCGGAGGAGGAGCCATCACCTTGAACGAGGAGATGAGGGTAAGCAACAAATGTCACCTACTTATAAGAAACCTAGGAGTGTAGACTCCACTGAGATTATTTTAGATAAATTTTTGTCAATTTTGCAATCAGTTAAGAGTTCAGATAAGTCGAAGTTGCCTTTTAATACTAATATTGTTCCCGAGTTTGATCCTATGACCAAGGAGCAAACTATTTTGACTTGGTTGACAAAGGTGGAAGAATGTTCAGAAATTTATGGCTGGGAAGATAGAGAAATAATTCACTACGCCCTGCCAAAGTTGACAGGGGTAGCGAAGAATTGGTACCAGAGTTTGCCGACAATGATGTATACGTGGAGTGAGTGGAAAAAGAATGACCCGATTTATCGCAAGTGACGCACTTAGCTGGGAGTTTATCACAACGGAAACTTGGATGACCAATTTGATCGCAATTGTAGCATGTAATTTTCCAACCCGCTGGTTTTGATAAAAGAGTTGTACCCTGACGTTCGTTTCGGGTTTTAAAACTAGAACCAGGATTTTCCCGACCATGCCCTATTTTCACAGTTCTGAAATATTTCAGCACTTGCTCTGGCTCAGAATTGTGCAGCCTGCGCATCTATTTTAACAGCCCTATCTTCAACGCCGTATAGCAAGCAATCGACAGCCTGACGCCCATAGATCTTACATCTATTTAGCAAATTAATTTTGGCGTAATAGTAATGTTCAAGCGACTCTCCATATTTAACCCTTTTGCCCAGCATTTCAGATAAGAGTTCAGCATAGTCTTCGCGAACAGGAAAAGATTCAATCAACTTCTTTTTCCACTCACTCCACGTATACATCATTGTCGGCAAACTCTGGTACCAATTCTTCGCTACCCCTGTCAACTTTGGCAGGGCGTAGTGAATTATTTCTCTATCTTCCCAGCCATAAATTTCTGAACATTCTTCCACCTTTGTCAACCAAGTCAAAATAGTTTGCTCCTTGGTCATAGGATCAAACTCGGGAACTTTAGATGCTAAAACGTCTTTCATCATATATGGAATCAAAAGTTTGTGGTGGAAATTGAAAGAAAATACTGTGGAAGTAAATTTTTTATGGACTCCGTCACATATTGGTGTTTTGGTGTACACGGAAATGAAAGCGCAGATCATTTAGCTAAAAGTATAGTCATATATAATATTGTAGTCTTTGAATATAGTCACAGCTGATATTGACAGGATAACTGTGTTGCAATACCACATACAGATTTATATTAAATTTTAAAGCAACAGTAAAAAAAGAATGGAAAAAGCAATGGAATGCTGTTTTAGAGACAGGAAAGGTCGTTGGTATGCATCAATTAATTCAGAATTAAGTATTCCTTGGTTTTCTCCCAACGAAAGATATCATAGCAAAAAATTTTATACAATAATGTGCAGACTTAGATTTGGCCACTATCGACTATTGGGATAGCCTCAGAAGTGTTCCAGAAAATAAAATCCAGTAATATCTCCACAGCACTTTAATCACAAAATTCACCTGTTTCTTGTACAATGGCCACGCGATGATTGCCTATCGCAACGACTGTCCGATATGACATTTACTTCGATTATCAATACACTATCTTAAACTAATATAATAGTTATTAACAAACTATTATTCATCCACAATTAGTTGATAATTAATAATACATTTAATTATTATCATTTAGATTAACAATGTAATATATTTCATTATAAATCAAAACTGTTTACACTTTAACATCTGCCTACCTGTTGCTACTTATTACAATCAATACAGCATCTTTATATTAGATTTAGAGGTATAATAATTCTAGGATATATAGAATAATATTAATCAGTCGTACATTAAACTAATTAAGCTTATAGCTCGGCCTTCCTGTGAAAGCGAGTCCCTTCGCGAAAAAAAATGACGTTACTAATCGGGATAAACCTTCGATCAACAATTAGCAATGAAAATTAAAAATGAAAAATTGTAAGCGCTACAGACTGATACTAAAACATTATTAATGTATAATGTTCTGACATAAACATCTATACGGATCTAGACACGAAACAAGTACAAGTGATGATTGAGGCCTATAATTACACGAGACACTAATATCAATATAATCTAAATAATGTTATTTAATCATAGTACATTAGATTTAATAGTAATTTATTTATATTAA